ATCCTCGTAATAACCTCACATTACCGGTAATATTGCATTTCATACTATATTTCATTTTTTAATAGCTTTGATTATACAACAGTGCTGGGTTCAACACTGAAGATGAGTTGGTTCCGAGATCTTCGTATTGTAAGAGTACCAAAAGGTAAATGCACAAGGATACCACTAAGTGATGTTTACTGACATATTGTGAAAGATATTACACATATTGTGCTGTCCTCATATAACCCTATTTTAATAGATAATTCTCATCCAATTCAGAATACAAAATTAACGCCTGTCCACATATCCCAGACAGGCAGATTTTAGCTGGAAAATTGTCTGTCTCTGTGAATAGATCACGAAAAATATTAAGTTTTCTAACTAAGTGAGGTAGTCCCATGTTGCTAATATCCCCCCAAAAATGTCCTTCATGGTTCATAAGACTTTTGAAATGAATATGCCAAGAATGATCGTTTTTTTCCAGATAATGTCGTAATGTACCGGTACCTTGCTAGAGACAGGTAAATCATCCATCAATTGGGGTCGGCACTTTTATTTTTCAAACTGTCCAATGGACAGGCAGCTTGAATTTTTAATTTCAATTCCTGCGATCACTATGTACAATGTACCTGTTAAGCCATCTTTGGAAAATCAACATTCCTTCTTAGTCCCCGTTCACGGGGACTTATAATTCGGTCTCCGCCCGTCCGTCTGTGCTGAGTCATATCTCAGAATTCCTTGGACCGATTTCGTTCATTCATTGCATGTGCCTAGTACTTTATGTGGGACATATGTACATGCAGTGGTTTAGCGATTCGATTCAAAATGGTTGTCTGGCAGCCATCTTGTTATTTAAAAATGTTGTATTTTGGACATGGTACATAGATTATACATGTTAGGATACAAGTCCATGACGATATATTTCGCAATTGGATCAAAGATGGTCGACTGGCAGGCATCTTGTTTTTTTTTTTATGCGGTATGTTGGACGTGCTCTGTCAGTTTTTATTCAAATTTGGCACATACATGTACATATACTTTATACATGTTAGGATGCATGTCCATGACAATTTGTTTCAAAATCTGGTCAAGGATGGCCGATTGACAGCCATCTGACTTTTTGGCCTTACTACTATATTTCCACAATTTATTTACCATTTTCATTTGTATTTGACACATACATCATACATATCAGTGTGTTTCATAATCTGATCAAAGATAGCCAAATAACGGCTGTTTTTATTTTTGGCCATATTACTACTACACGGAACACGTGTTTTGATGTAAATAAACAATCTGTTGTATACGCCACTTGGAACTCCAGTTTCAAGGACACGCTCGCGACAACCCCTCCGCTTTAATATGACGAGCACAAAGAGAACTTTCAGAAATTTAACAGGGACTATGTCATTTTCAATGACTTGTTTGTATTGTACTACATTGCATTAAGTGGCTCAAGAATAGTTGTCATGGTGATGTAGGAAATGTTTGAAGTAATATGAGGTTGATAATTGCTATAAAGTATTAGACCATTAATTAATTCACCAACCAAGGTCCTCAACCTCGTTTGATTCAACATTGCAGGTCGCACTCCGCCCCGGAAGCTCTATGACAGTCGAAGTATTCATCGTCTTCGAGCATCTGCAAATCCATTCTTGAGAAAAAGAGCGGTAAGTCACTAGATGCCTGTTTGAGGACAGGTTCTCCATAAAAACCATTATTCAGTGAGCCATTTTGCTACGTAATCTTAAATAATGATGCCATTTTTATTTCCTTTTGATGTGGAAAAAAGTGAACTAATTTGCCTCTCAAGGAGTATGCATAATATTTTTTTTTCAATCATGGTAATCTTGGAAATCAACAATTTTTATTTTCTCGGGGAACAAATTTTGAATTGTTACAACCATAGACCATTCTAATTGTTGTTCAAACTTGCCATGCAGTTTAGTTCAGCAAATGATTTTCCTGCCATGATCAAGCTGGCTTTCATATAGTCATGGTCATTTATGAACGATTGTTAGTTATTAAAAATACATTTAATAAAATACACAAAACTACCAGTACACTGAATTTGAAAAATGAAAATTTCTTGTTGGTAAAACAGCATGCAACGATTGCTGCAAATAATCACATGTCATGATGACATCATGAAGATTACTTGATAACTTCAATTCTCTAATTTTAGTCAATATTTTTGTCATTTTTGGTAAAAATTGTGATTGTGCGGCAACTCAGTGGATCTCTGTCAGATTTGTTGATTTTGTGACAATAAATTTAGTGAAACTGCTTTCATTTGCAATTTTTGATTACTTATTAAAAACAACTAGCTAGATTTCTTTGATATTGTATGTAGGTCTAATTGTGATTTCAATAATTTGGCTGACGGATAACCAGTTTACATGTAAAAACATTAAATCATAATTTTTTTGGTGGCCTGATCTGTTTCGCAGTAATGACATGCACACATGCACAGATTTTGATCATACGCATTGGGTTACAGGTATTTGTTACTTTTTGTTCTGTAATTTAAACAAATATAGCCATTTTGTATTTTATGGTGTCCATACAAGTTTCTTTTCATTTTTGATTTGATTCAAAATGGCCGACTGATAGTCAAGTTTGTTTCATATACATCATTTTGTGGACATACTTAGTAAAGTTGTCTTTACTCACTGGGTTATGGATAAGAATGACACCTGCTTGGCTTTTATAGGGTTCAGAAGGTAGACCATTCCTTGTTTGTCTACTTGCTAGTTAATTTACTGAAAAAAAATTAAAATATATATTTTTATTATTGAATAGATCTCTCCGAGAAGGGTATATTCCTTGAGGGATAGTCATCGATTTAGGAGTCCATCTGAGGACAGAGTAAGGAAAAAAAGTGATCGTCGCAGCAGCAGTAGACATTCCTTGAGTCCAAAACAAAAGGCAAGTTATAAATGCATTACTGAGATTTTAATGTGTTTTAATGATCAGTAATGCAAATTTTGTACTTCTTCAGATTAATTAAATAATCATGTGATATGTGCTGATATGTTGGATTCATAGACAACTATGCCTTTTTCTTCAAAATTAGTCGACCACTTTCTGAAAAATATACTTCATGAGGTATTGAGATTTAGTTTTTTATCCTAACCATATTTTTCTGACACTATGACTGATTTTTTAATGAACGCAAGATGCATATCGGTTCGCTAATCCGTGCCATTTCTTTTTAGTTTTAACAAATTTCTATTGCGTCTTCAAATTTCAAATGCTAGATATTGTGACTGTCAATGACAATGACTTGTAATATTTATTTTAGAGCTCTCAGGAACATCTACCATTGGAATCAAAACACAGATCAGTAAGTTGTATCTTTTATGTCTGATTGGCGAGTTTTGGGTTTGACTATGAAAAAACATTTTCAGGTTTAAACAGGGTTCAAACTCAATCCGGGAAATATGATTATGAAAAAATGCATAATTTTTATGGGCCTATTGTATACAGTCCCACAGCCAAATAAATACTGAGTCGTTTCAGAAAGACTAAAAATATTAGGTTTTTGATCGGCATGTGAACAACAAAAAAAGTGGGTCAATTTTTTTTCCCCTTTATATTGTATTGTCACTGCACATCATCCTATGTTGACAATTGATGAAATCACTGAATGCATGCAGAAATTTCCAGTCCATGATCTAAAGATGAGCTTTATTACAATATCAAAATTTGATGTGAAGTGTTTTCCATTGAAAAGCATGGCAGACATGCCATGTCAATAACGCTGTGTAACATTTATGATTGGTATGTGATGTCTGTGCATATGAGCAAACATTGAATATTGGATGAACAGTTAAAAATAAAGGTCATCAAAGAGCTGAAATATTACATATGCTCGACTAATCCTATCAATACAAGTAAATACATTTAATGAAGTAGGCCAGGTCTTTCGGAGAAACCCGGGCGAAAACAAATGTTATATTATAAATGAAACTAAAAATATGCTTCATGAATTATGTCTCAGCCGACCATATGTTATGTTACCAATATGACAGCAAAATATTATGGATTCTTTATACGTGTGAGGATTAATTACTTGCAGTCAGACAAAGACTTAACTCTGTGAATTCATAGTCATAGTCAACATTACCTGGTTTGTCATAATCAGGTCTGTTGATCAGTGAACCTGAAGTATTTTTCGACATTTATTTTTTAATTTTGATGAATATTGTGTGATATGATATTAAAGCGGGGGAGTCGTCACATGCGCATACGTCAGATGGTCATAGAGTGTCATTGTTTACAAACAAGCGTCTACCGATGAGCCTTTGCAATTTTAGCGTGTGTTGTTATCGTCGCTTGGGACTCAACTCCCGGTGACAACCCTTCTGTTTTAATGATTCATAAGACACATTTGCTAGTGCGTTTTCTTGTCTATTAAAACATCACCTGCTTAGAGCCTCTATGGAAATGATTGGGAAAATGTTGCAGTGAGAGATGTGTTAATTTAAATGCACTGCAAGTTGACAATATCCTTGTGGATGCTGTTGGAAGTGTTTTTGTTCATGGTTTTATATATGATAATTATCGGCAACGTGTTTGAAATATTTAATACAATAAAGGCATTCATACATTGGACTTCCACGTGTTTACCCTTGGCATGACAAACGAAAATTCAAAGCTGAGTGCTCCTGAGCCCCACCAAGTGGAAAAAGTATGCCACAATGCACACAGGACACTGGGTGTGTTGTTATGCCTGTGCCCCAACCATGAGCTGTGTTTATATTTTGAATTGCTCATATAAGATGTAAGTACAGGTAATGACCTTCCAGAAACATAAGCTACGTTCTCACACGTCTAATCTGCTGAATTGTCTGCTCGCGTTCTCACTTAGTAAAAACACAGGTGTTTAAGAATTAAATGCTGGCCTTCCACCTAATATTTTGTGTAGTCCATCCCAAAATGGCATAGTTTTCTCTACCGCTTCTGTTGTTGTGCTCAATCACTTCTCTGTACTTTATACATAAAGTTTTGTTCGTCCGTTGACATTGTGATGATGTCTTGTCCAACCCCTTTTCAGCCGCTTTCTCTGCAATCACAGCATATACTCTAGCATCCCTAGACGTTCCATCCATCATTCTTTGAATATTAGATTCTCTCCATACAGATATCTGTAGTCTTGTTTCTCGTCTGACCAGTTCGACATTCCACCTGTAAACTCTGATACCATCTTGTGAGATGACAAGCATAAATAATTTGGCAATAGAGGGCGTTTGGCCGTCATATTGTGTTCACACGGCACATTGCGTTGCGCAAGAGCCGGTGTGACAACAGCGTTTAGGATCTGGTCCACACCCCTTTTACGACGTTGTCAAAAACGCCAACGCCACAACAGTGTATTCTGTTCACACACGCATTTTAACAACGTTCTCAAATAAAAGGCGTTGTGACAACAGCTCATTTCGTCCAGTCAGAACACCACTATAGAATTCAAACAGCAATGTTTCTTGAAATAGCTCTCTAATCTGAAAGGCATATATATCACCATGGTTTTATTGTTTTCATTATTTGCAGTCTTCTTATTCTGAAGATCAACCTGGCACTGACAAATCACATTCTCCATCCCGACGAAGCCACAGTCATAGCCATAGCCACAGTCATAGTAGTCACAGTCGTAGTCGTAGTAGAACTCCTGAGCATAAGCGATCACACTCGCCATCTCCACGAATTGTAATTAGAACCCATCGAAGTGTCAGTGATAAAAAGATTCCTTACAGTTCCAGTATCTATGGAAAAGTTGCAACGTTCAAGGATCTCAAGTCTGAGCATTCCAATCATTATTATTCAGACGGATTGAACTACGGAAAAGATAATACTTCTTATAATAAAGATTACAGAAAAGACAGATCGTCAAGTCCTTATAAAAGTCATACATACAGACCAAGCAGTTCTAACGGTGCTACTGCTTCCTCACCCGAGGATTATGGCTCTACCACTTCCAGAAATAGATACGAGTCAAAGTTTGCGCAGCCTGCCCTTGACTTGTCTCATAAATATGTGAATGGGGATAGCAGAGGCAGTTTTCTTGGAAGCACAGACTGGTCAACGGAACAGTTAAATGCATTGAAACAAAGGAAAGATGAAATTGAACGGGTTAGTATGCACATATAAGAGAGTGGTTGTTATTACTTTCTCTTTTACCTATTTATTAGGGTCATTTTTCAGACCTTGATTTTAATTTAGCTGCTTCCCTCAAGATACAATGTCAGCAATTGGGCTGGCCAACTATAAAAGTTCTTTCCAAGTCAGCATGGTTTGTTCATCTCTGATGCAATCATTGTTATTAGCTATTATCATTGCCGCTACGGTTTAAGTCATTTCATCGTTCTATATGTGCATGGATGGAAGGACACCAAATGTTGTTTATTGGTCTCTACTTGTGCATACTGGTTGTTTCCTACTGGTAAACTCCATCCAATACTGGTCACACTGTAAGGTTGTATAACATTGATTGGTTTACATTCATTGAATAAAATGAAGATGGTACCAAGATAACCAAGAGCTGCATTCCTGTTTGACTTAATGGAAGTATATTATGGTATATTTGTAATCAATTTCTTTGTACATCCCAGGCTTATCGTCAAGACTGTGAAACTTTCGCAACTGTCGTCAAGATGTTAATAAGGTGAGTTTCTACCAAGTACTTTAGAAATGTTTCTGAATTGTATCTTCTCTGAAACGGCTGGTCCATGAGTTTTGTATTCCTTATTCATTATATAGAGATTCTGTTACCATTGAAATCCTCTTCTTAAATATCGTGGCGACAAAACAAGGTCGAACACCTTGAAAAGTGGTGGTAATTCTGACCTAGAAATGCCATGAATATTAAAACTCCTCTATGTATAATAGTACTGTCTGTTAATATGTTTGTGGTATGAGTTAATATGTGTGTGGAATGAGTTAATATGTGTGTGGAATGAGTTAATATGTATGTGGGATGAGTTTAAATTTTTGTGGGATGAGTTACAATGTGTGTGGGATGAGTTACAATGTGTGTGGGATGGGTTAATATGTGTGTGGGATGAGTTAATATGTGTGTGGAGTGGGTTAATATGTGTGTGGAATGAGTTAATATGTGTGTGGAATGAGTTAATGTGTGTGTGGGCTGAGTTAATATGTGTGTGGGATGAGTTTAAATTTGTGTGTGATGAGTTACAATGTGTGCGGGATGAGTTACAATGTGTGTGGACTGGGTTACAATGTGTGCGGGACAGGTTAAAATGTGTGTGGAATGAGTTACAATGTGTGTGGGAAGAGTTAATATGTGTGTGGAAAGA